GTGCCTGCCACAGCCACGGCCCGGCCTGAGGGTGGTTGGTGTCTTTGTATTTATTTAAGGACTGAAGTGTAGCCGAGTGTCTCTGGTTTATTCTGAAAGCTGCTTCCCCTTGGGGCAGCCTCTGTGTGGGGACTGGGAGGGATGCCCAGGGCTGCTGCTCCCCACGGGCTCAGGTGGAGCGACAGGGCCAAAGTGAGTATATGGGGAACCCAAGCCTTGAGTGAGTACCCCAGGATCTATTGCCCCAGGTTCATGCCCCCCAGCTCCCCTGAGTGCTGGGCTCAGCCCCCTGCCTTTGCCTGGGTAAGGAAACCCCTGTTCCCCCCTCCCCCTGCAGCAATGGACTGGGGGCTAGTCTTTCAAATTACACTGAGCAAATCTTGCTTCAGGAAAGCAAGTCTGGAGGGGGGAAAAACAGCCAGCCTGTTTCTGTAAGCATGGCTGTCACATGCAGGATGCACAGCACCCCAGCACGCTCCATGCTGGACACTGGTCCCTGCTCCCAGCCCTTTTTGCTCCTCTATGCCCTGCACTGACAGCCCCCTACCTCTCCCCAAAACTCCCATGTTTGCAATGTCCCTGAAAAACATGGAGTTTCTCCATCTGGGAGCCATCCCTCCCCACTGGTATTCCCAGGCTGGCCACGTGTCCCCCAGTCCTTTCGCCAACCCCTGGCCAAGAAGCAGGGCTGTGCGTTTGCAGAGCCTTTATTTGGCATTTCTGTGGAGGGGGCGAGGGGCTGGCCACCCCCAACTGGGAGAGGAGCACGTCTCTGTGCCAGGACCACGGGCAGCTTGAATGCACTGAAGAGCTGCTCCGTGCCTGGCAGGATCAGGCCAGGCCCGCCCCATGTTGGAGCTTTCGGGCCAAGCCTTCATGGAGATGTGGTCTTCTGCTCCGAGGGCAGCCGACCCCTGCATCCTCCCACTGCTCAGCAAGGCAGGATGGCAGAGCAGGGGGACAAGCTGAGGGGCCAGGAGATGTTGCCTCTTGAGGTGGGACACAGGGTTATTGGGAAGTGTCCCCCTCCCATCGCTCAAGTCTCTGCCACAGAGTTTCCCAGCCCAACATCCTGGCCAGGAGGTGCCAGAGGCGGGAGCGATGGAGGGGGCTCCTGTTGCTGTGGGGGGATGGGACAAGGAGCAGCAGCCAGGGGGGATGCTGGCAGGGGGGAGAAGCCACCCCTCAGGCTGGCTCCGGCAGTTTTTCCTGCTCCTGCTGCTGCTGCTGTTCCCTCATGTAGGCAATTATGTCGTTCTTCACGACAGCGATGTTGGCGCGGTGGTACCAGCGCATGACGGGCACACCGTCAGGACCCACCAGGAACTTCTCAAAGTTCCACTTGATGTCGTGGTTCCGCAGAGGCTCCCAGAAGAGGTTCTTGGGGTTCCCAAACTCCTCTGCCACTGGAGGACAGGAGTTCTGCAAGGGAGAGCCAGCACATCACTACCTTGCCTGCCCCCAGAAACAAGCTGGGTGCTGCCCCTTCATCCCCCTGTGCCATGGTGCTCACCTTCAGGAAGGTGAAGACTTTCTGCTCCTTGGCTCCATTAACATCCCCTTTCTGGAAGATCTGGAAGTTGGGGACGAAGCCACCCCCTGGCCGGACATGCCTGCAGGGGATCACATAGTGGCCATCCCTCAGTGCTGCACAGGGGGAGCAGGGAAGCCCCAAGCCCTGTGGTGCTGGGGGGCACAGCCCCAGGCTGGAAGGTCACGTCTAGCAGGAGCTGCAGCCTAAGCACCCACCAGCTGCTTGGGGAGCCCAGCCAGGGAGCTCAGGGACAGGTGACCCACAGCCCCCCTGCAGTACTCACTTCAGGGCAGGGAGGATCTCCGAGTTCTGGCCAGGTTCCTGCTTCCCAAATTGGTTAGAGGGAAAGCCCAGTACGACGAGCCCGTAGGGCCCCAGCTCATTTTGTAGTGCATTCAGTTCTGCATGCAAGTAGACCCAGGGAGGGGTTAGAAGGGAACCAGGGTGACCCCCACACCTGCACCCACCCCTCAGAGCATCCCCAGTTATGACAGGTCCTGGGAGCAGGCGTTACCCATTCCCTCAGCTCCCCAAGGCAGGATGGACCATGGGCATCTGCCAAGGGCTGCACACCTGGGTTACACTGCCTGCTCCTTGGCCACCTGTCCTGTCCCTGGGGGTGCCCATGCCCCACAGGGCCCTTACCAACATACTGCAGGGTGAGGCCTCAGTACGTGGCCACGTTGACGAAGAGCACCATCTTCCCTGCATAGTTCTTAAAGGGGATGTACTCGTCCCCATCGATGGTTAGGGCCCCATAGTCGTAGATGGTGCCCGGCACCGAGTCGTAGCATTTCACCTGTCGGGTGGAGAGCCTCCTGTGGGACTGGGCTGGGGGCTGCTGGCCACCCCACAGCCACCTGCTCCCACCAGAGCAGCAGGTCCAGCCCTGGAGCTGGCTGAGATGGCAGCTGCCAGCATTGTGCCTCCTGCCCCAAATCCTGCTGGCAACAGCCAGGCTCCGGGAAGCCAAGGTCAGGGTGGCTGGACAAGCTGGTGCCTGCACGCACATGGATGTGCCCACATGTGCGTGCCTGGCCAGCGGGGCTGACTGCAGCTGGCGGGTTGTTTACACAGCCAGGGTCAGGCAGAAAGGCTGGAAAACAGCCTGAGCTGGTGTGGGGAGACCAGCCCCAGCCTCCCCGGGGCCACAGGCAGGCAGGAGCCCACCATCCCTGCACGGACCCCTCCGGGACAGCCAGAGCACCCCGGAGCAGCACCAGGCTGCTGTGCCACGGCCCAACCACGCTCAGGGAAGGGATCAGGGCTGCATCAGACCCGTGCCAGGGGTGGAGCAGCTTCTGTCTGCAGTGCTGCAGGGGTTAACACAGAGAAACCTACCTCCTGTGACCGTCAGAGGACCCAGGCTCACCCAAGTGCCACCGAGGGGCTATTTTGGGAGCTAGCAGGAGATAAAGTCACAGGGGCTCTGCCTAGGGAGCTCAGGCTCCCGGGGGCTGGAGGGCAGAGATCTGCTGCACCCCCCTGGACACTGTGCACGGAACAAAATCCCCCCGTGGGGGTGACTGAGGGGGGACAAGGCTCTGTTCCCCTCTGTTCCCAAGCCCAGGACAGCAATTCCCCTGGCTGGAAAATGGTTCAGAAAAATCCCCCCCCCAAGATCCAGGCACCGGGACCACGGGTAGGGGGGTCACAGGGCTACCACGCCTCCCTTCTGCCCCCGGGAGCTCTGCAACAAGCCTTGGGGACAGGCAGGTCCCCAAGAATCCCACATACCCCCACACACACACCCCCCAGAGCCCCCGTGGGGGGGTCTCCTCCCGCTCCCTCTTACCTTCTCCCTCTCCTGACTCTGCCCCGGCTGGACGAGCCCACCCCAA